CATCTTCGGACAGCGCTGACTCTTCGGCTTGGAAATGGAGATGAGCATCACACCCCTAGAGTCGGATTTGACTGGCTTTCGAGCAGGGGGAACCTTTATCTTTACATAGCCCAGAGCCCCAGGATAGTAGGGATGGGACTATTCATAAATTTAATGTAACAACAACAATAATAATCCTCAACTGATTTTAATGTTTTTGTTTTTATGATTGTGATATATTTTATTTTGCATGTTTTATCAGTGTTTCAAGCTGCCCTCTAAAGCATGAAACGTTAATCGGCCTTTTCAGAAGGCCAGGTTTTGAATTAAAATGGGTGACGTTTCATCCTGGGTGTTGTTTAACACTTTGGAATTAATTTTATTGATTGATTTTGATTTGATTTGCACCTCGCCCTCCCCACCAAGGCAGGCTCCGGGCGGCTTACATAAAAATTGCAACAGGTAAAACAACAATATAAATACCTGCGTAAAGCACAAATTAAGCGCAAGCTTGTTTTTAGGAAGAGCCACTTAACTTGGCGGAAGGGTCCAAACTTTGTTCAGTGGAGTGGTAGGGGGGAGGGGGAGGATCCACTGCAGTTCTGATTTCAGACGGGTTTCCCGGGGGGGGGGGAATTCAGCTTCCTGGGCCCCTCCTGGCTGGGGGGGGGGGGGTGCTATTGACCTTCCCTTTCCCCCCAGTTCTTCCCTGCCTTCCCTCCGCAGGCGCTCCGGCCGCGTCCAGCACTGCCGCATCCATTCCCGGCAGGAAGCCGGGGCCACCAAGTTCTACCTGACAGACAACCTGGTCTTTGACAGCCTCTACAGCCTCATCTGCCACTACCGCGAGGTGCCGCTGCGCTGCAACGAGTTCGAGATGCGGCTGACGGACCCCGTGCCGCAGCCCAATGCCCACGAGAGCAAAGAGTGAGCGCTCTAAGCCTTGGCCCTCTCTTTCCTCCACCCCATTCTTCTTTCCGTCCATGTAGGCCTCCTGAGCAGTGTTCCCTCTAAGCTGAGTTAGTGTGAGCCGGCTCACAGTTTTTTAGCCTCCGGCTCGCAGATTTTTGTCTTAGCTCAGGAAGGATGGCTCCAGAGCAATCTAATTTATGCAGTAGCCAAATTGCTCACTCGCAACTTTAATGCCAGTAGCTCACAAAGTACAATTTTTGCTCACAAGACTCCGCAGCTTAGAGGGAGCATTGCTCCTGAGCACCGCTGCTTGGCCTGGAAGGCGACGGAGGTTTAGCCGGTAGGAGTGCGGGGGGGGAGACGCTTCTGTGGCATGAAATCCCCCAACGATTGATTACAGATTGGAAGTTCCCCAGGAGTCAGAGGTTGTGGAGTCAGTGTTCCCTCTAAGCTTAGTCAGAGGAGTCAGAGGCTGTTGGAGTCAGTGTTCCCTCTAAGCTTAGTTAGTGTGAGCCAGCTCACAGTTTTTTAGCCTCTGGCTCACACATATTTGTCTCGGATCAGGAGGGATGTCTCCAGAGCAAACTAATTTATGCAGGAGCCAAATCGCCCGCTCACAACTTTAATGCCAGTGGCTCACAAAGTAGAACTTTTGCTCACAAGACTCCACAGCTTAGAGGGAACATTGGTTGGAGTAGGTGGACTGTTGATCTGATCCAGCAGGGCTCTTCTGATGTTCTTTTGTTCTCCCACAACCAGGTGGTACCACGCCAACCTGACCCGCTTGCAGGCCGAGCACATGTTGATGCGGGTGCCCCGGGATGGAGCCTTCCTCGTGCGCAAACGCAGCGAGCCCAACTCTTATGCAGTCTCTTTTCGGTGAGTGTCGGGTGTACCCCAGTAGGGTAAGCACACAGCCAGAAATCCCCGGAGGTAGCTGGGGGGGTGGACGTTCCCAACAGAAAAATGGGGAGGCAAGAGACGTGCGAAGCTCCCTGTGGCGCCCCCTTATTTGGGAGGACTGGGTTTCACTTTATACGTGTTCTTTGCTTTTGTAAACTGGGTATTTTCTGCCGCCACCAGGAATTTAAGGACTTCCAAACCTTCTCTCCTTTGCTCTTGGTAAAGTGACCCAGAGTCTGGGCTTTTCAGGGATCTATGTGGTCCTGGGGAAAGATAGAGCTGAATTCTGGGATAAACTTGAACAAAAGGTGATTTATTGAAATAAGAACAAAATATGAGGTTGGTTATTCTGTAACTGTTTGGGAACAAGGAAATGATTAATAAACTGGTGAGGTATCGCACACAATCTTCTTAACATTAAGATCCCACTCTGACAGGAATCTCTTTCTTTAACAGGGGCCCCTGCCACACGGGGGGGACGGGGGACGGGCAAAGTGCTATTGTCTGCCGCACTTTTTAAAGCCGCACCAAAAGAGACACGCGGCGGCGGGATCACATAGATCCCCTGAGCCGCCGCACACTTCCTCCCCGGCACGATCAGATGCTGGGGGGAAGCCACTGACAGGGAAGCGAGGCAGCCGAACTGCGCGTGTGTGAGCATGCACAGTTCGGCCGGGAGCTGGGATTGCTACGAACGAAGAGCGCGCCGGCGATCCCACGGCCGTGCTTGATGCGGCGTCCCAGGTAAGTCCTCCTCTGGGGGTGGTTCTTTTTTACAGCGCGTTATTGGCCTGAAGGGACGGATCGGGGACGGGTGCGAGCCGATTCCCAGATGTTGCGGTGTGCTCGCGCCCGTTTGCTGCGCCCCCGATCCGTCCCTCTCCTGGGCCAAAATCTCCCGTGTGACCGGGGCCAGGCAGTCACACTGGCTTAGCTCTTTGCACTATAGCTTCTCTTTCACCACTCTGGAGTCTCACAGACCCCTTCTCATAGCTCCTTCACAACTTTAGCTTTTACAGACTTGTATTCTGAACTCTTTACTCTTTAAGTTTTCACACAGAACAATAATAACCCTCACTGACTGAACACACTAACTGAATGAATATCTCCCAACGGCTTTTTCTAACTGACTTTCATAACTGACTAACTGACACCCCCCCCCACTCTCTCATCCTCCAATCACAGCACACTTGTCTCTCTCAATCACTCTACTCTGCTACCGCTGCACTCCAACCTAAAGACACACACACACACTCTAAAACAAGGAATCATTACACAAACCCTCCCTTTCCACTGCAAATTCTCTCCTCCCCAAAACTGCTGGGCTCGAAGATTGGCAGCCGTTATGGGGTTTGTGTACATGCAACTACAGTGTAGCTGTGTTGTACTGCAGAGTTGTAGCCCGCTTATGGCAACCCCTCATGGGGTTTGCAAGGCAAGTTGCCTTCAGAGGTGGTTTGCCATGGCCTGCCTCTGTGTAGCAACCCAGGACTTCCTTGGTGGTCTCCCACCCAAGTACTATCCAAGACCAAGCATGCTTAGCTTTCCAGATCTGTTACAGTCAGGCTAGCCTGGGCCGTTTGGTTCAGGTGAGCCAAACAGAGGTGGTTTGCCCATTGCCTGCCTCTGCGTAGCAACCCTGAACTTCCTTGGTGGTCTCCCCTCCAGGTACGAACCAGGACCGACCCTGCTTAGCTTCTGAGATGTGATGAGATTGAGCTAGCCAGGGACATCCGAGTCAGGGCGATCGTATGGCTTGTATTATTGTGTGTAAAGGGCCAACAAGCTGCAGCCGACTTAGTGGTGAAGCCAGCAGGGGTTTCCCGGCAACAGACAAACAGAGGTGGCTTGCCATTGCCTCCTTCTGCCTCATGACCCAATCAGGGCTTTGCAGCGGATTTTCAAGAACCACAACGGCTTCCAAAATGGCGCTGGCAGCCATGGGATGGACCCATGGTCCCCGTCACCTGTAGTTTGACCCACAAGTGCTGCCCTTTCTTTCATTATAGAATCACAGAATCACAGAGTTGGAAGGGTCCATACAGGCCATCTCTCTCTCTCTCTCTCTCTCTCTCTCTCTCTCTCTCTGTCTTTCTCTCTCTCTCTCTCTCTGTCTTTCTCTCTCTTTCTCTGTTTCTCTGTCTCTGTCTCTCTGTTTTTCTCTCTCTGTCTTTCTCTCTCTCTCTCTCTCTCTCTCTCTCTCTCTCTCTATCTATCTATCTATCTATCTATCTATCTATCTATCTATCTATCTAATTTATACCTCGCCCTCCCCGCAAGCGGGCTCAGGGCGGCCTACATAATTGGTCTGCAAATGACCATTCATTCACATAAAAACAGTTTAAAATTCAATTACAATAAAACAAGAATCTCATAAAGTTCTAGTGCTGATACATTAGATACATAAGATGGCGTGCTGGAAATACCATACCGCCAGACAGTTTGCCACTCAATGATCTTCCTGAGCACAGTGGTAGAGGCCAGATGTTAAAACTACGGGCCGGCTCATTGGTAGTAGTGGGGGCGGCTCCTAGTTGAAAGCCTGGTGGAAGAGCTCCGTCTTGCAGGCCCTGCGGAACTGCATAAGATCCCGCGGGGCCCTGATCTCCTCCGGGAGCTCATTCCACCAGTCTCGTGCTAGTCCAACCACCTGCTCAATGCAGGATCAGCCTAGAGCTGGGGTGTCAAACATGCGGCCCAGGGGCCGGATCAGGCCCCCAGAGGGATTCTATCAGGCCCGCACTGGAACTGGCCATCTCCTGCTTCCAGTTCTGTTGCTGCTTCATTATAGCTTACTTCGCCAGACTCTCTCAATTGCTCAACCATTTCATGTTTTCCCCTGGGTCCTAGACTCAGAACTCTGAGCATGAGATTTCTGTGGTGAGTGTCAATAAAGCAAAAGTAGGCTTGCAGCTTACAGATACACACTTGAACAGCATACTCAAGATTGCAACAGCACAGACATTTTGATGCAATAATTCAGAGCAAGAGAGGTGTCAGTGATCAGACACTGTTAAATAAACAAAATATTGCAAGAGTGCTAAATGTTTTAAGCATGTTTTTAAGTTTTAAAAACCCTTCGTGTTTGTGTTCTTTACCTGGCATTACATTTTATGACACACGTGGCCCAGCCCAACAAGGTCTCGTTTATGTCAGATCCGGCCCTCATAACAAATGAGTTCGACACCCTTGGCCTGGAGCATCCCTGACAAGTGTCTAGATTTCTATACATTTGTGTACCAAACTGCTACCTTTGGCCTCTACCCAGTGCTTAAGAACATAAGAGAAGCCAACGATGAATCAGGCCAATGGCCCATCCAGTCCAACACTCTGTCACACAGTGGCCAAAAATACCAGGTGCCATCAGGAGATCCAGCAGTGGGGCCACATGTACCATTTCTGCACATGTGTCAGGTCTCCCAGTTTGGCAGTGGTAGTTTATTGAGATATGCTTACTTTAGTAAACTTGTTCTGTGTCAGAACTGACAAAAGGCGCACAAAAGCCTCTATTATAGGTAATACAAAATACATCCCACACCTCTCACATACGTCACCGTTCAGCCTCTACAGTTACTATGGCAACCCTGACAGGTATATGCTGCCTAATCTGCATCCCAGCCTGGCAGAGGAGACTCCAAGGCCCGCTCCCTTGGGAACCAGTAGTGGGGCACAACCTTAAGGAATAATTATGGCTTCTACAAGCATCCACCCAAAGCACCCAGGCAGTCCCCTCAGGAATTCTCTCCCTCCATATCTATGGCAAGCAGTGAAGTGAAACATAGTGAAATGAAACCAGTGCTTGACAACATGTACCATTCCCAGCCAAAGAAGAACTTCTGTTCTTGGGGGAAGTGTCCATGACGGATCAAAAACAGCTTCAAAACGGGTTAAAAAGGGTAATGTGAAATTCCTCAGTGAAATGAAACCAATGCTTGACAACATGTACCATTCCCAGCCAAAGAAGAACTTCTGTTCTTGGGGGGGAGTTGCTCTGTTTGGAATACAGCTGAGGGATTTTTCACTGTGGCTTCAGGGATACACCGTCATGTGTTTTGTTTTTCGTTTTCCGGTCCCCCGATGGCTGCAGAGCGGAGGGCAAGATTAAACACTGCCGGATCCAGCAGGAGGGGCGCCTGTTCATGCTGGGCAGCTCAGCCGAATTTGAGAGCCTCCTCGACCTGGTCAGCTACCACGAGAAACACCCCCTGTACCGCAAGATGAAGCTGCGCTACCCGATCAACGAGGAGACCCTGGAGAAGATGGGCACGGCGGTGAGGGCGGCCCCCAGGGGAAGAGGGGGGTCCTCAGGGCTTCTGTGATGTCTTACAGCAGGGGTCCCCAACCATTTTGGTTGGTGTTGAGAGCCATTTTGGTGTCGTGGTTAAGTGCGCGGACTCTAATCTGGGAGAACCGGGTTTGATTCCCCACTCCTCCACTTGCACCTGCTGGATGACATTGGGCAAGCCGTAGCTTCAGAGCTGTTCTTGAAAGAGCAGTCCTCGAGAGAGCTCTCTCAGCTCCGCCTACCTCGCAGGGTGTTTGTGGGGAGGGGAAGGGAGAGGAGATTGTAAGCCCCTCTGAGACTCCAAGTGAAGGGCAGGGTATAAATCCAATCTCTTCTTCTTAGAGAGCCAGTTTGGTGTTGAGAGCCAGTTTGGTGTTGTGGCTTAAGTGTGCGGACTCTAATCTGGGAGGACCGGGTTTGATTCCCCACTCCTCCACTTGCAGCTGCTGGATGACCTTGGGCAAGTCGTAGTTCTGACACAGCTGTCCTTGAAAAAGAGCCGTTTCTGTCAAGACCTCTCTCAGCCCCACCTACCTCACAGGGTGTCTGTTGTGGGGGGAGGGGAAGGGAAAGGAGTTTGTCCGCCGCTCTGAGACGCCAAGTGAAGGGTGTGGTATAAAGCCATTCTCCTCCTCCTCCTTTTTGAGCCCTCGGGCTCCTTTGGAATCCTGACGCAGTGTGGTGGATGTAGCCGCAAAATAGCTGCCGCAGGTGCTGTAAGTGGACACAAAAATGGCTGCCGCAGCTTCCCTTCAGTCACCCAGTGAAGATCCTTGTGTTGTGCTGGCGGCTGCTGCCGAAGCGGCGTTTTTTAAAAATCTGACCAGCCAGTCAGAAGCCTTGCTGGGCAGAATCCCCACACGGCCCTGCCCATTTTCAGAAACGCTTGGGTGCCAAAGAAGAAGATGTCGGCAGAGGCCATGGTGCCCGCACAGCTTACAGGATCCTGGAAGTCCAGATATGCCCCCACGTTGGGGGGGGGGAGTGTCCAGTAATCTTAGCAGGATCCCGAGGGCTCATCTCGTTTTCCCTAGAAGAATTCTTCCTCTGGGGTCTGTGTCTCTCTTGCTGATTTAGGGCAATTCAGTGTCTTCTGCCTTTGCGACCCTGAATTTGATTATATTTCGTCAGCGTTCTGATTGCCTTTGGGTACATTTATTTATTTATTTATTTGAACTTTTACCCCGCCCTCCCAGCCGAAGCCGGCTCAGGGCGGCTTACAGCAAAGAATCACATTAAAAAAACATAAATTACGATTAAAACAGTGCTAGAACCAGAGGTCATTTCGGGGGGATCGCGGGGGATCCCAGTTCCCCCGGGTGAGGTACGGAGGGGCGGGGCTCATGACGAAGCCCCGCCCCCTGCTTCCGGCCCTCATTCAGCCAGGAGGAGGCAGGAGAAGAGGGAGGGTAAGTTGCTTCCTCCCTGCCTCTCCCCACCCCTGCCTGCCTGGGGCCAGGGAGGGCCTTCACGGGGCTTCCTTGCACTCCCGCCGGCCTTGCAGGTCCACCGCCGGCCCCTCATGGGGCTCGGCAGTGGAGCTGCAAGGCCGGC